GAGGAGATGGAATAGGGAATTGGGAGGGGGGAATAGGGAATGGGGTGTGAGGAGAGGGAATAGGGAATGGGGAATTGGGAGGGGGAATAGGGAATGGGGAATGACGAGAGGGAATGGGAGAGGGGGGTATGATTGAGGGGACCGGGGTGACGTGATTGGAACAGGGAGTGGGGGCTGAAGAGGAATAGGCAAGCCCTGAGGGAACGGAGGGGACACGGTTGAGGGGGGAATGGGGAGGCCTGAGGGGAATGGAGGTCTGAGAGGGAAGGGTCTGGAGGAGTCCTGAGGGGATTGGGGAGGTCTGAGGTGAAGGGAGAACAGGGGGAGGTCTGTTGGGAACGGGAGAGTGCCCTTTCCCTGGGGCAGGGGTTGCCTCAGAGCTGCCAGGGCACTCCGGGGTGTCAGGGTGCGGAGGGAGAGGCTCAGGGAGGAGGAGGATAAGCAGCGCCCACGTTTTTTCCTCCCTCCACGTGGTGAGAGGTGCAGCGAGGTCAGGTCCCACGTAATTCCCAGGAGCTCTCCCGCTGTCCCGAGGGGGTGGAATGCAGCAGGGGATGTGCCAGCCCAAAGGGCAGGGTGGCCTCTGCCCGGGGAGCGGTGCCAAAGCCTTCAGGCTGTCACTGCTGTGTGCAGGGAATGGGCCATGAGAAATAAAGCTGCAGCCTCCGGGAGCTTAAAATAACAGGGAGGCAGCTCAGCGCCCTGGAGGTGTGTGGAGCACAGGAGGAGTGTAAAGCTCCACACCAAAGCACAGTCCTAGTCTGTCCTGATCACTGTTCTTCCTTCCCCCTTGGTTGCCCAGGACAATGTGGAGAGGGCAGACGCACTCCAGCTGACAGTGGAGGAGTTTGTGGAGCGTTATGAGAAGCCTTACAAGCCTGTGGTGCTGCTGAATGCTCAGGTGGGTTGGTCTGCCCAGGAGAAGTGGACGCTGGAGCGACTGAAACGCAAGTACAGGAACCAGAAGTTCAAGTGTGGAGAGGACAATGATGGTTACTCTGTGAAGATGAAGATGAAGTACTACATAGAGTACATGGAAACCACACGTGATGACAGCCCCCTGTACATCTTTGACAGCAGCTATGGGGAACATCCCAAGCGAAGGAAACTCCTGGAGGACTACAAAGTACCCAAGTTCTTCACTGATGATCTCTTCCAGTATGCAGGGGAGAAGCGAAGGCCTCCATACAGGTATAGTGCAGTGACAGCCAGGCAGAATGGGGCATTTTCCATCTCAGCAGCTGTTCCTAAACAACTGGGATTGTCTCACAGGAAAAAAGGGGTTTGGCTTTACCTCATCTCTTCTGAAATGAGTGTCTAATGCAGAGGGAGAGAAGGTCAGATCTGTGTGTGACAATTTCCCTTCTGTCACCAGTGTTGCTACAAATGTATGGTGGTTTTTTCCTTTTGTTAAGTCAGTTTACATCACTTAGATTTTTGAAAAAGTGCATAGTTATTGAAAGTTATGAATATTAATCTCTTTCTTTTTGTGCCTTCTGCCTTTCACATTTTAAGTACCATGGGACTAGCTCCTGGGGGTTGCACCAGTGGTTTATGTACAGTGTGGAATTTTGTTGGATTATGAGTCCTTTTAAGGTAAAGAAAGATCTTCAGCTAGGTTTGGATGAAGTGTGGAGTCTAGATCTTAGCTCCTCTTCAGATAGTTTTGAGAGAGAACAATAGTTCACATCTGTGTAGTCTTTTCAACTCTTTTGCATCTGATTGAAAAAGGATTGAAACACTTCAGTCATGAATTCAAATGCAACAACCTTGTGTTTGGGCTGTTTGCTACAAAGGCCATTTTTGTCTGTGTTAGTGTGACACTTCACAGCAGTGTGAGCACAAGCTGAACCCTCCCAGGTAATAAAAGTCTTCACAGTGGCATTGTAGTTGTCAGAGAATGCCTTTTGCCCTCTGAGTGACATGAGGCTGTGATGTGGTTTATTCAAATAAAATAGAACAGGTAATGAGTACTGGCACTTTCCTCTGCACTCTCACATGTGTGTGCTCCAGTTGTGCTTTTGCAGGAGTGAAGCAGAACCCAATTCCATTTCAGATCGCTGAAATAGGAGTTCTTACAGTTGTAGCAGATGCTTTTTATAATTCTCTTCCAAGAAGAACATACAACACAGATCAAACACAAAAGCACATGAGGTGTAGTCTCTAGTAGAAACTGAGTACAATTCCAGAATTAGGAATCATTTATCCAAGTTATAGGTAAATGAGACAATCTGGTGGTGACTCATTTATATTGGTGTCTCTCCCCCACACCTTCCCCACCTACAGCCACATGCTGAACTGGTATTCACCACTCTTGTACTTTGTCCTGGAAAATGTGGGTTTGTCTCAGGCTGTTGATGTGTTTTGAGAGATGAGTGATGCACGAGAGCACACTGATGCCTGCTGGAATGAGAGGGTTCATCTAGGTACAGCAGTGGATGAAGTGTGCAGTACTTTTAGAGCCCAGTTGAAAGTCTGACAGGAAATGGTGCTAATCATAAGATGAGGATATGACATGTAGAGATTGACCTCTGGGTTGAGAAGTGTGTGATAGTGTGTAGACCTTAAAGCAAGAACTGCTGCTAATCAGAGCATTTCTATTGGCATTGTTCCTTTTAAAATAAAGACAGCAATTTCTGGAAGCCATTACTGGAGCAGCTGTGTTGGTTTGGGGAGAGGTTGGGGTTTATGTTTTTGCTGTTCCATTGAGTTTAGGAGTTGTGAAGTTTTTAGTGGTAAATTTGATGTCTTGTGGCAGATTGGGTTATGTTCATTGTAAATTAAATGTCTGGAGGAAGATGCTGGTGAATGATAGTGCTGCTAAATAAGGGTTTTAAAACCTTCTACATGTGAAGACTTAGGTTATTGTCAGAAAAATGAGCAGTGCATCTGTCTGTGCCAGACAGATCTATGTGTTTAAGTTCTTCTGAATTCTCAGTAAAAGCTTTGACTGTTTTGGTTTAATCAGCTTTCCAAGGCTAATAGGAATCTAAAGAGTGAATTGGCAATAGAAATGACAAACACCTCCTTATTTATGGCTCCTTTGTGCAGCAGGGAGAAAGCAGCACAATAATCAAACTTAGAGTCCTACAGTTGGTGCTGGCAAGTGATCCTGGAAAACCACCTTGATTGACATCTGCACTGCAAGGGGAGATGGAGAACTTGTTGACTTCCAGTATCTTCAGAACCTTTGTGCTCCTCTTGCTGGCAATCACCTGCCTGTCAGCCACACCATGGAGGGATCTTGGTGGTGCCTTAATTTGTACCCTCTCTGCTGCCAATTAAACAGTCACTATTATTTTTTTCCTCCTCATGCCTGGTGTTAAGTCACCTCACACTGGTCTGCTTGGTGTGGTTGGTCTTACTACTCTGTAACAGTGGAAATGAGCAGTTGCAGGTGCTGCTGCAGTTAAACACATACAGTAGGTAAAGTTCTCCATTGGGAGAAATAAACCTTGCAAATGGGGGATGGGAATGTACACCTCAAATCCTGAGTGGTCACTGGAGAACAAGCTCCATGTAGTTAAATGCTAGAATGAAAAGCCTGTTGTGAATGTGCAGAGGGTGCAGAGGGAGGTCAGGGTTGCATAACTTCCTCTGTTCCTTGTGTTGCCTTTTGTTTGTTCCTCATTGTTCTGCAGATCTGGATCTGTTTGAGCAGCACATTTTAGAAAGCCATAGGAGAATCCCCCTGCATAGTAAGAATCCTAGCACAGGCTGTTGTGTCCCAATTGCTTTCATAAACCTTGAAATCACTAATATTTTATTGAAGAACTGTTTAAACCAAGATGTAGCTATGAAATATGAAAATCTGCCTTTACTCTCATGTCCCATAGTCATCCCTGTCCCAATTCATGTTGGTTATTAGGGTGAACCCTGTTATATCTGCTGCAGTGTGAGCCTCAGTCTCAAGAAGGTAAACTAAGGGACTGTAACCACCTCAATTTCTAACTGATCGTGCAGTGAACAGCTGCAGTTCCCTGGCTGACGTGAAGAAAGGGAGCTGCTTGCTTGCACTCTGACTAAAGGACTCATTTACTTTTTTTTTCCCCCCTCATGCAGATGGTTTGTGATGGGCCCTCCTCGTTCTGGAACAGGAATTCACATCGATCCCTTGGGAACCAGTGCGTGGAATGCCTTAGTCCAGGGACATAAGCGTTGGTGCCTGTTCCCAACCAGCACTCCCAGAGAGCTGATCAAAGTGACTCGAGAAGAGGGAGGGAACCAGCAGGATGAGGCTATCACTTGGTTCAATGTCATCTATCCTAGGACACAGCTTCCCACCTGGCCCCCAGAATTCAAACCCCTGGAGGTGTTACAGAAAGCAGGAGAGACAGTGTTTGTGCCAGGTATGTACAAATCTCTCCAGTAAGGAACTCTGGGGGAGAAAAGCATATGTCTAATATTTGTGTGTAATAGAGATGAAGAGAATATTTTAGCTTTCTTAGGTGGCTCATCTCTTCCAAAAGGAACTATCCTGAGCTGTTCCAAAAGGGATCTCTAGTGCTCCTTTTGAGACTACCCAGTTATTTTCTGAGTGTCCTGGAGCACATGTGGCCTTTGGCATAGAATTGCCTGTGGTCTGACAAAACAAGTGGGACTTGAGTTGCAGCATCACAGAAATGTGATCCTGGATTGAATTGCAGTAATAGGAAACTGTCAGGGCATAAAATAACAGAGGTGTTTGAGTACTAATAACTCTAAGACAAAAGTGTCTGAGTTCATACACACTGTAGCAGATTCATGACAGAATTTCATAGCCTGGGTAGTCTGGGTGCATATGACTTTTTTCTTAGCTGTGGAAAAGAACTACTTAAAGGCACTGACACCTTCCACCCACCTCTCTGGTTATACCTCATCTTGCATTTGAAATCAAAAGCTAAAGAAAGCTCTGCCAAACACGTCCTTCTCTCTGAGTGGCTGCACACTGTGCCCATTGTAGCTGGGAGGGGAGGTGGCTGTGCATAAACGTGTGAGTTCAGTGCCAAATTCTAACCTCTGAGTCTTGCGTCGTTTTTGTGCAGCACAGCCCATAGCTCCTGTCCACACTGCTTGTCTCTAACATGCAGCTGGTTTGATGTGTGAAGAGTGCCTTGTGATTGTCTTGGCACTTATTAGTGACTCCTCAGTGTACCTTCTGTTGAGAGTTTGTAGCTGTCGGGTTCCATTAAACTGTTCCCTCAGTCTTTTAGGAAGTTATAAGTAGGTTTTAAGAACTCCACTGTCTATTTTTATCCTGTGTGGGGAAACAATTTTGCATCTATTTTTAAATGAAAGGTTAGTGTGTAGTTATGAGAACCTTACAAAATCAGCGTGGAAATTGCTCTCCAGCTGGACAGAAAGGGCCTCTGTGTGGTCTGGGTCACAATGGCTCTTGCTGTTAAATAAACCATCAGGAGCCAGTGTGTGGCTGTCAAGTCAGATCTTCAGCCCTCGTGTGAGCTGGGCAATGTGGTCAGAGCATGGGGCAGCCTTCTGTTACAGGAGCCTGCCAAGCGCTGGAGTGAAGGCTGAAATAAGACAGAGGAAAGATGATGTGGTGGCAAACTCACCTGGGCTTGGGAATAATGTTCAGTTTCCACCTGCACTGTGGGAGAAGTGTTCACTGCTGTTCTTGAACTTGCTCTGAGTGTAGCCAGCAGTGGTCACTGCTGTTGTATTTCAGGTGGCTGGTGGCATGTGGTTCTCAATCTCGACACAACTATTGCCATCACACAGAACTTTGCCAGCTGTACCAACTTTCCCGTGGTGTGGCACAAGACAGTGAGAGGGAGACCCAAACTGTCACGGAAGTGGTACAGGTAAGAGATTAGCAGCTTTCCTTTCATATTCTCTCTACCTAAAATGTTCATTTTACATGCAGTGTTACAGTTCTAAGGCTAATCCTGAAATTTCAACTGTATTTAGGATCCTAAAGCAGGAACACCCTGACTTGGCAGCCTTGGCTGATTCAGTTGACCTGCAGGAATCTACTGGCATTGCTTCTGATAGCTCTAGTGATTCTTCCAGTTCCTCAAGTTCCAGCTCCTCAGACTCTGATTCAGAGGTAATGCTTTTCACCGCTGTAGGTGAGCCACATTCTGCCACGATACTGTTTTTTCTATACCTGATCCTGTCCTCATCCTAATGCACATGGAAGAAATTAATGGACAGCAGCTAAACAAATCTGCATGATGGCAGAGCCTGTGGCCTTTGCAGGTTGTGTTTGCTGAAGCCTCTTTGCATTGCTTAATGGATTCAGTTTGTTTGATCCATTTCTATATTATATATGAACCTGTCATTCATTTAGCTAAGCTATACCTGTGTAAAATGGCTGCAAAAAGAATGTTCTAAAAATGGGGAACAAGATCCAGAATAGATCAGTTATGACAAGGCACATATCTTCTAGGCACCTAAATCCTTCAGAAGCCACTGAGTGTGCTCTTGGAAGTTGAGGTACTTCTAGGAGCCAAAAGCAAGGCATTCACTGTCTTAGCCCAAGTCAGCTTTGGTCAGTGATGAAATCTGAGAACATTCCTGTTCCTGGTTTTGAAACACTTGGTTTAGGTCAGACACACGAAATAAACCATCACATGCTTTGAATGTGGATTATTCTGGGTTGCTGAGGTAGCTCTTACAGTGAATTCCACAGCACAAACACCTCCCAAGGTTCCTCTGAATTCTGGTTTCATCTTTGCATTCCTCAGTGTGACTCTGGCTCGGAGACAGAGGGGATGATGCACCGGAGGAAAAAGCGGAGGACGTGCAGCATGATGGGCAACGGTGACACAACCTCCCAGGACGACTGTGTGAGCAAGGAACGCAGCTCCTCCAGGTGACACCATGGCATCTGTTGCTCTAAACTGGCAAAAGACAATAGGAGGCAGAGCTGGCAGACTCCAGATAGGTGGTGATTCCTCAGGACAGAGGGATGCAGAGCCAGGGATTCCTTACAGGACATAAAGCAGTTGGCCAGTGGTGATATCTTCCCTCTGTGAATTATTTTAATTGATCCAAATGGAAAACTAAGATTCTTGATACTTGTTTTTTAAATGAGGAGTTTTATTTAATAAACAGTTTTATTACTTTTCCTAGTTGTCTCTTTTAATAGAGGAAAGGATTGGGTTTGATGGGAGATGTGGGATGCTTTAAGAAATGAATAATGAACAGTTAAAGATGAGGTATGACCAGATAGGACTCAGGTTTCAGTGCCTTGTTCACACAAATGATGTTCCAAAAGTTGTATGAGTTCCCTTATTGCTGGCTGAGGTATTTGTTTGGTCCAGTTTTATCTGTTAGAGACAAAATTAATTCCAAATGTCTGGTTTACCTTTTAAATAAATAAACAAAAGAGCAAGTTTCAGTCGGTCTGGAAGGAGGGAACATTAATATTGCAGAACCAAGAGTAGATACTGCTTAGGGTAAAGTTGCTGAGGAAGGAAGTTCTCTGGACTTGCCAGATTAAAACCAGTGGAACAGTGGGAATCTGAGAGTACACTGCAGGGAAGAACTTAGACATTCTTTGCTAAATGAAGCATTTTTCTCATGTAGCAGAGGCTTGCCAAAATTCTCAAGCAACCTCCTTGCGAGCTTGGTTAACTGCTGCTGCTGTGCTGGCTGCCTGCCTGCAGCTGGGTGTGGGCTGGCTCCTGAGCTGTTGGATGCTCCAGGTTTGGCATGGGTGGAAGTGCTGTGGTGACTTACTGTGTGCCCTGCTCTAGAAGGTGTGGAGCAGTAGTTTACCTGAGGAAGTCCATATTCCCAGCATCATGCCTGACTTCCCAGTGTAGGACGCTGCCTGAAGACCTGTGTGTTCCTGTACCCTTGTGCTGTGATGGATTGCTCTCCTGTTCTCTGGAGCTGCTCATAACTGAATTCAGTTGAGTTCCAAGCACAGAGCATCATTAAACGTTGGGCAGAACTGTACTGACTGCTTAGTTTGCCCTGGAGGTTTGCACAATTTGTTTGTTACGACATTGTCAAATCCCATTTTGGCAGCCAATGTTACTTCAGGCAGGGAACGAGCAGCAGGAGAGAGCAAACCTTAGTGCAGACCCTGCTGGAAAAAAAAGCTGTGAAAATGCAGCTCACAGATGCAGATCTGTTCTCCTGAAAACCCCATGCATTTTTAAATGGTTTGCAGTCCAAATTTTGAAGTCAATACCTTAAATATTACAAATTAGCCCCTTGCCTAGCATATTTACTTGCTGGGTTTCACAGCTCTTCCTCCTGTGTGTTGGCTGTTCCAGTGTGTGAGGGCAGGTGGGTGTTCTGTTGCAGGTGTGTGGTGGATTAGCTGGTAGAGTCCCTTCCAAACATGAAACCTTACCTTGCTTGTACAACTCTGGAGGAAGTATAAGCCTGCAATTAACCTGCATGCTGCAATCTTGTGCCCTGAGACGAGGGCAATGCTTTAGATGTTGACAGGCAGCTGTCCCTTTTTTTGACAGGATTAGGGAATCTTGTGGAGGCCGCAGCTACCCCTGAGAGGCAACAGCACCAGCCCAGAGGCAGCTGCAGATGGAAGCTCCTTTAGCAGCCAGCCAGCTCTGTCCTGCCCCTCCTGCTTCTGTCTCACAGTCCTTACGTTTTTGTCACTCCTCCTCGATCCTGACATCCATCTTCGTTATGTGCTGTCCAAGGTTGGCTCCTGAATAACTTGCAGGGCAATGCCCTGACTACGTCCTCGTGCAATGCTCTGTCCCCTGTGCCCTGGGTGAGTGCACTATGGCCCTGTGGGGAAGGACATGCCAAGTCTTTCGTGGGTCACGGAACTGGCAAGGAAGACAACGGTCAGTTTTTAAAGAACTCTTTTTAAAACCAGCAGGTAAATGTGAAAACCTGCCTTGCTTTGACACTGTCATATGTTTACATGTTGTCCTGTACACTTGAGGAAAGGAACACCAGCCCTCTTGGCCTAGCAGAACGTCTGGCAGATCTCACAGCAGGATTTCAGGAAGGGAAGGTGGTGTGGATGCTCCAGACTGAAGCAACTTTAGTGGAGGTGACCATCGACCTGAAGCATCTTTGTGGTCTTAATCTCCATGCTACATGCACACACCTGAGGTGCAACACCTTAACCAGCAACAGTCCATTTCCTTTGGCTCTGTGTCTGTTACCTGACAGGTAACAAAGCTGCACTAGCACCTTGCTATAGGAAGCTCAATGGAGCACGAGAATCCTGGAGTTTCTTGCACAGCAAAAACTGTGGGGAACAAGTCAGCATTTGCCAGTAATTACAACGGGTGCAGGTGTGATGTTTAGCACTAGGCAACTGCTGACAGTGTGACTGAACATGATCACAACAGTTGCTGGGCTTTAAACACCAAGCAGTTACAGAGCTCTGGGCTTGCCCAGGCCAGAGCAGTTCACATCCCTGAAGGGCTTTTCTTTGAGGTTATGGGTTCAGACGTTTCTGACACTTGCAGTGCCAATTTTAAAGGACTGGGAGAGGGACATGTTGTTGTTTTATGCTTTGAAAAATGCCATGTGTTGCTTGAGTCTGTGTAGGTGCATTTGTATTATGCCAGGTAAAGCTCCCGTCCCTAAGGGATCTGTGGGAGCTGTTGGTTTGGGGTTTAGTGGGGGCTTGTGCTGGTCGTGTCAGTGAAGAGATGTGTCTCTCTGGCTAAAGGTGTGTTGCAAGGAAATCGGAATAGCTGAGGAGAAGCTGGCTGGGTTGGGCTGCTGCCTTGGGTGATGCCCTGGGAGGTGGGTACAGGATCTCACTTCAGCTGTTGTTTGGGGAGGAAATGTGAACGACAGAAGTGCTGTGTGTGTAGTAAACATACAGAAATGTCCAGGCACTGATTAAAGAGCAGATTGGCAGCCTTAACTGTGACTTTCTTACACGTGTTGGGTTTGATGGAACCTGCAGCATTGCTTCTCTGGGTTTTCTGATTTATTTTTTTTTAACCTTGTCTCTTCTTATTTAAACACTCCCTCCCTTCTTGGAGACTGGGCCATATCCTGTTGGACAAAGGAATCCTAAATACATTTGTCAGGATCTCTGGTTTTGAATCTTCTGTGCCAGTTTGTGTAGGAGCAGTGGTAGTAGTGGGGAAATGGAGAGAGGGAAGGTTGTTTGGTACACTGGGCAGCTGCCTGAATTTCCTGTGATGGCCAGGCATAAGCAAGCACACTTGCTCTGTGCGTTCTATGCCACAAGATTACTTCCTTTTCAAAAAGAACAGCTTCTCAAACCCCTGGCATTTCTGGCCAGGGCTGAACAGCCTGTGAGCCTGCACAATCTGTGTGTGTGTTCTCAGACAGAGCAGGCTGCAGCTGCTGCTTTTGAGAGAATGTGGGGCCTGGAGAGGCAAAGGCTTACAAGTCTCAGCTCTGTCACAGTGAGAGGAGCCCTTGGAGAGCTGCCCCTGCCCTCTGTGTGGTGGGGCAATACCTCAGTAGGATAGCTCATGCTGTAGCTGGCAATTGCATTTGGCTTGTGTGGTTCAGTTTCAGTCTTAAACTCTTGCATGTGTGTGAAAGGCTCGTGGCTGAGCTGGGAAAGCCACACCTCTGCCTCCAGAAGCACAGTGGGAAGATCCAGAGTGCAGAGCATTCTTCCATGGCTGTGAACTCTTCCATGGTGTGAAACAAAGCAATTTCAGATGAAGCCTGTATTCATTTGGCACCTCTCAAAGAGAAGCAGCATGTTTGCAATGCACTGCAAGCATCCTGATACCAGGAGTGTTCTGCTGCTCCACAGGGCACTGCCTGCTGTGAAACAAGCTCTGTCTGCTTAGACTACCTGGGAATCAGCACTCTGGCATCTCCAGTTCTTCCACTTTGCCTTGGCCAAATTGCTGAGCTGCTGCCTCTGTTCTAGTAGTGAGGAAAATCCCTACCTCACAGGGGTGTTGTGAGGCTGAACTGTAATTACTGTGTAAGATGCTTTGAAGTCATCCGCCCACAAAAAATGTTCCATTCATCCTGAGCAACCCGAGGCTTCCGAGCCTGGTGGCAGCTTTTTGTAGCAGAAAACATTGGGGATGTTGTGCAGAAGTCTTGGCCACGTGGTGTTCTGGGGTGGCCCTTCCAGGATTGCTGTGTGGTACAGAAACTGTAGCAGAACAAGGCTTTTTGTTTTCACCAGGGTTGAACTGTTGCTGTTTCATGGCCTGCTCTAAATAGGAGGTCCTGCTAGGGCAGGATTTGTTTTAAATAGGACTAGATTAAATTCTCTCTCATCAGGGAGTCAGCTTCACTGGCCTTACAGGAAGAGGGGCAGCTGGGGCTTCCCAGGCCCTCAGTCCAGGCTGGGTGAATGAGGAACAAAGTTAAAAACTCTGCTCCCTTTGTGCCTAGCTCTGTGCTTGTGGGAGGCTGACTGGGGACAGTGGGGTTTGTGCTCTCACTTCTCCAGGCTTGTGCTTCTTGGGGCATCCTTGTCTCTTGTTCCAACCCCACTGCTTCTGTGTACTGTAGGGTCCCTGGATGCATAGGCTGCTGTGCTCCACCACTCACACCCCTGGACCCCTTGTTTCCCTGAGCCCCAAAGCAGCAGCTTGTTCTGCCTTGGCCCCTCGGGGCTTTGGGGCTGCCCTGTTCCCCAGGGATGGGCTGAGAGCCTTGGGCTGGGTGGGACTGTGGCCTTCCTGATTCTTGCTGTCACTGTCCTGCCTGTTGTGGGAAAGGTGAAGGGATTTGGGAGCTCTGGCTGTGCTTTTGTGTCTGGTGCCCTGCACAGGCTGTAACAGTCTAGGAGGAAATGACTAAACACTCTCAGAGCTGCAGATGTGGACAAAAAGGCTCTGGTCCCAGCACCTGTTCCCTGCACAAGTGCTGTGGGAGCAGGTGATGCCAAGGAAGCTCTGGCAGACCTTCCTCCCCTTTCCAGCTTGTGTGCTCCAGTTTGTCTTCTCAGTTACATTAAACCTCTCCAAATGCTTAGAAGAAACACAACAACCTCTTTCATAATTAACCTCCACCCTTCTCCTCCCTGAATCCCCAGCCATGGTGGGGCAGGAAGCAAGACTGCTGGCTGAATCCAGTCTGAAATGCCTGTGTGGACTCCTTGTAATGGGAGGTTTTTGGCACCTCCCATGCAAAGGAGGGAAAGAAAGTGTTAGCTATTCATGTGACAGTCCCACTGTCAGCTCCAAGCCCTGCCACTGCCCTTAGCTGCTTTTGTCACCCATCCAGCAGAGCTGGGATACTTGTCTTGTTCAGATGATTGTGTATTTGCTTATTATTTTAAATAAAATCAATTATTTTGCATTATCCCATTGACTAGTCACTTTTTTATATTGGGATCTGAAAAAATGCTACATGTGTGCACTTCTGTTTCCCAAAGTGCTGCAGTGTGCAAAATGGTGTTCAGGTAACAGCTATGGGGGAGCTGTGGGGACCTGTGATCAGCACAGCTGTGCTGGGATGTGGTTTGGGAGCTGCTGGGGCTGTGGTGGCTCTGGGAGGAGGTTTGTGTCAGTTAGTTTGTTGCCAGACTGCACTACCTGCTCTTTGCCCCTGTCCTGCTCTCCCTGGTCTGTATTGCCAGGTGGTTTTGTGTTGTGGTTCTGGTGCCTCCTCACACTAGTGAGGGGGTTTCATCTTCCAGGTGTTGTATGCTCCTTTCAGAGGGCCACAAGTTGATTAGAGGTATGGAGCATCTCTCCTACAAGGGAAGGCTAAAAGAATTGGGACTGTTGAGCATGGAAAAGTGGGGTGACTTAATTGTAGCCTTCCAGTACATGAAGGGAGCCTAGAAGAAAGATGTAGGGAGACTATTCACAAGGGCCTGAAGTGACAGGACAAGGGGAATCATAGAATCAACTGGGTTGGAAAAG